TAAACCCTAGAATCTCTCTAAATATGGACATTCACCATAAATAGAATTCTATTTATAACACTCCCCCTGAATGTCTATTCAACAGATAATGTGCCTCGTTAAAACCTTAACTAAAAGAAAACCCAATGGGAAAAAATTCTAGAAAAGAAAAAATAGTACACATGTTTAGAAATGCGCCTATTGGTTGCCTCGTTAAAAACCTTGCAAGGAAAACCCAGTGGGACAAAACCTTGTAAGGGAAAAAGAGTGCAACGCGCATTAACTCCCCCTGATGAGAGCATCAATTCACATCCTTGAGCCTTCGCATCCCGATCTTGTACACTAGCTTCTTGAAGGTTGACGTTGGTAGAGATTTTGTGAACAAATCAGCCATATTATCACTTGAACGAATCTGTTGCACATTAATATCACCATTCTTTTGAAGATCATGTGTGAAAAATAACTTTGGTGAAATGTGCTTTGTCCTATCTCCTTTTATGAATCCTCCCTTCAATTGAGCTATGCATGCTGCATTATCTTCATACAAAATTGTGGGTAGTTTGTCACATTTCACACCACATTTGTCTCGAATAAGATGTATTATAGACCTCAACCACACACATTCTCGACTTGCTTCATGAATAGCAATTATCTCAGCATGATTAGATGAAGTAGCCACAATTGATTGCTTAGTCGATCGCCAAGATATGGCAGTGCCTCCACAGGTAAATACATAACCTGTTTGAGACCGAGCCTTGTGTGGGTCAGATAAATACCCAGCATCAGCATAACCAACAAGATCGGGACTGCAATTGTTGCCATAAAATAAGCCCATATCGGTAGTCCCTTTTAGATACCGCAATATGTGTTTGATTCCATTCCAATGTCTCCTTGTGGGAGCAGAGCTATATCTTGCTAAGACATTAACTGAAAAAGTTATGTCAGGCCTTGTAGTATTGGCAAGATACATTAGTGCACCAATTGCACTAAGATATGGTACTTCAGGACCAAGTAGCTCTTCATTCTCTTCTTGAGGTCGGAATGGATCCTTATTCACATCAAGTGATCGAACAACCATCGGAGTACTTAATGGATGTGCTCCATCCATGTAAAACCGTTTCAATACCTTTTCTATGTAGGTAGATTGATGAACAAAAATTCCGTTTGCCAAATGTTCAATTTGCAAACCAAGACATAATTTTGTCTTTCCGAGATCTTTCATCTCGAATTCCTTCTTTAAATAATCAATTGCCTTTTGGAGTTCTATAGGAGTTCCAATAAGGTTTATGTCATCAACATATACGGCAAGTACAACAAATTCCGATGTTGTTTTCTTTATAAAAACACATGGGCAAATGGCATCATTTATATAGCCTTCCTTTAATAAATACTCACTAAGACGATTATACCACATTCGTCCTGATTGCTTTAGACCATACAAAGATCTTTGCAATTTGATTGAAAACATTTCCCGGGACTTTGAATTATGTGCGTTTGGCATTTTAAATCCATCGGGAATTTTCATGTATATCTCATTATCAAGTGAGCCATAAAGGTAGGCGGTAACCACATCCATTAAATGCATGTCAAGCTTTTCATGGACAGCAAAACTAATGAGATAACGGAACGTTATAGCATCCATAACGGGTGAATATGTCTCTTCATAATCGACACCAGGCCTTTGTGAAAATCCTTGTGCAACAAGGCGTGCCTTATATCTTTGTACCTCGTTTTTCTCATTTCTCTTGCGTACAAAGACCCATTTATAGCCAACAGGCTTAACACCATTAGGTGTTTGGACTACAGGCCCAAAAACTTCACGTTTTGCAAGTGAATTCAACTCTGATTGGATTGCTTCTTGCCATTTTGGCCAATCAAGTCTTTGTCGACATTCTCCAACAGATTGAGGTTCAAGATCCTCACTTTCTTGCATAATGCTAGATGCAACATTATATGCAAAGACATAATCCACCACTATATCCACTCGATTCAAATTTGTCTCAATATCGATTGGATTTATTGATAGTTCCTTATTTTCTTGAGTCTCGGGCTCAGTGGATTCCTCATGAATCTCAGAATTTATTAAATTGTGGATTTCTTCATGAGATTCTTTCGTAGTGTCATTTTGATCATTTGTTTTCCTTTTTCTAGGATTTCGATCTTTGGAACCTAATGGTCTGCCACGTTTAAGGCGTGCTTTTGACTCATTAGCTATGACACTAGAAGATTGTCCAATAGGGACATCAATACGGATTGGAACATTCTCCGCAGGGATATGTGATTTTGTTATCCTTTTCATATCCGTAAATGCATCTGGCATTTGATTTGCTATTCTCTGCAAATGAATAATCTTTTGCACCTCTTTTTCACAAATAGAGGCACGTGGATCAAGATGAGATAATGATGGATTTTTCCACAAAATTTCCCGTTTGGTTTCACCAACTTCTCCCCCTAATTTTGGGAAAAGTGTCTCATCGAATCGACAGTCTGCAAATCGTGCAGTAAACAAATCCCCCGTTAATGTTTCGAGGTAGCGAATAATGGAGGGCGATTCAAACCCAACATATATTCCTAACCTTCTTTGGGGACCCATTTTGGTGCGATATGGCGGTGCTACAGGCACATATACTGCGCATCCAAAAATTCTTAAATGGGATATATTAGGTTCATGACCCAAAACTAATTGCAACGGGGAATATTTATGATAATTTGTCGGTCTGAGACGAACTAGCATTGCTGCATGCAAAATGGCGTGACCCCAAACAGAAGTGGGTAACCTCGTTTTCATGAGTAACGGTCTTGCTATCAATTGCAGACGTTTAATTAAAGACTCTGCAAGGCCATTTTGAGTGTGAACATGAGCTACAGGATGTTCCACTTTTATCCCAATTGATAAGCAATAATCATTAAATGCTTGGGATGAAAACTCAGCAGCATTATCAAGTCTAATAGACTTAATTGGATTATCGGGAAATTGTGCCCGTAATCGAATTATTTGTGCCATTAATTTTGCAAACGCGAGGTTGCGAGATGACAATAGGCACACATGGGACCATCTAGAAGATGCGTCTATTAAGACCATAAAATATCTAAACGACCCACTAGGTGGGTGAATAGGTCCACAAATGTCCCCTTGTATACGTTCCAAAAACGCAGGGGACTCAATTCCAACCTTTGTTGGTGATGGTCTAATAATTAACTTGCCTTGATAACAAGAAGTGCAAGAAAATTCATCATTTAAAAGAATCTTTAAATTCTTTAATGGATGCCCATTTGAGTTTTCTATAATTCGTCTCATCATAATTGATCCAGGGTGTCCCAATCGATCATGCCAAAGTACAAAAGTATTGGAATCGGTAACCTTTTGGTTTACAATAGAATGTGCCTCAATTGCACTAATTCTTGTCCAATACAGGCCACAAGACAAAGATGGGAACTTCTCAATAGCCCTTTTCTGGCCAGAGACATTTTTGGTAATGATGAGATATTCAAGATTATTCTCATCTATTGTCTCAATATGATATCCATTTCGACGGATATCTTTAAAACTCAACAAGTTCCTCTTGGACTTGGAGGAGAACATTGCATTCTCTATGATAAGTATTGTTCCCTTAGGCAGAGTTATAGTAGCTCTTCCAGAGCCTTCAATTAAATTACTACTACCAGAAATTGTAGTAACATCTGCCTTACACATACTTAAATGAGAGAAATATTTCTTCTCTTTGAATATTGTATGTGTCGTACATGAATCAATTAAACAAATATTTTTACAATTGAACTTTGATCCAAGTTTACCTGGAGAGATATCGACATTTGTTTGATCCATTGAATAAAGACTGTTGCACGTTTTCTAATCTTGATTCACAGTTGAAAAGTCTTCTAAGTCTTGATCAATTGTTTGCTAATTCTTGTCTAAGAGGTAAGTGAAGACAACGAACACTACCGACTTACATACACAACCTTTCAGCATAGGCGCAACTGGATATTGAAAACATAAAACATGTTTCTTAATCTTCTTGAGACGGTAGAGTCTCGTGCTGATAACGTGTTATAAAATAATAACAAAAGAAGAGCAATATTGTAGAGAAAGAGAGAGGGGAAATTCTTATTGAATTTTGGGATGAATTACAATGGAATAGAACCCTCTATTTATAGGGAGAGGTTGACTTAGCCACCAAGTAATAAACCCTAGAATCTCTCTAAATATCGACATTCACCATAAATAGAATTCTATTTATAACAGTCGTCATATTATGTTCTCTTTATTTTTTAAAGTTTACATATTCATTTACTTATATAACTATCCAAATTTTATTTATGAATAAAAAAGTGTTATGCAGCAATAAAAATAAGCCAATAACGTTTAATAATGAAAAAAATAAACAAAATAAGCAATTTTAGGAAAAAATAAATAATTTGCTTGTATCAGTCACTTGATAGCAATCAACAATGAAAGAATCAAATTTCTATTTGCATGTGACAATAGAAGAGAGAGATAGAGCGAATATAAATACATATAATGTATGTAATATTAAAAGCAGTAAATTTTATAACAAATTCACAACAGGATTGCTCTATTTATTCTTAAATGTATAATTTAGAATAAATTTGATATAACATAAATTATATGTGAAAGTAAACAATAGAGAATAAATGGAGGAAGTGGAGCACAACTGCACAAGTACAAATTTAGCATACATAATAATATAATGTTCAAACAAAGTTTATAAAATAGCAGAAAATATATTTCGGTAAAAATATATTTATATTTTAACTTAAATTAGATAAAAATTAATAATAAAGTATGGCATAATTTAAGAAAACAATATAATATCTTATAATCCTATAACATTAGAATGTGTATTTGAGAGGGGATTAAAAAGGTTAAGGACAAAATGTAGTATTACGTAAGACATAAGGGAGGAAAATGTCTATTTGAGAAAGTTGAGGGACAATTCGATTTTTAGGGCAAAAGTTGGAGCCATTTTTGTATCCTCCTCTTCTTCGTTCATTTTGTTTAAGAAGGCAAGAATCGGAAATCAAAGGTGAAAAAAAAAAAACCGTTTTCTAGGGCTCATCAGTGATGCCATTGGAGTAGCATTTAGTAGCACTATGATCGGACATTATCTTACCTTGAGGGTATTAGTAGAAGAAAATATGAGGATAAGCGGAGAACGGTAACTCTTACTCAGAATCACTTTTTTTTTTTCACTAGACAGTAGAATAATTAGTTTGAGCTTGTGCATCATAAAATTCAAAAATTTTTGCACATGGAATATTCTGCAAAGAAAAGTGTTGCATATGATTTCCCCCCATATGTTTACTTTGGACATATCCAAGTTTCTTGTATATTGTAATGTAGTTCTTCAATGTAAGTCCCAGTAATGAGAGCAACTTGTTGAATTTTTGATGGAGGGGTACATTTACGGGTGTACTCATCAAGGTTCCTTCTGTGCGATGGGTAATTTTAATCTGCACAGGACAAATATCAGCAAAATCTGACTTTTTTTCTTAATCTAAAGTAATTTTTTTCTTCAGCAACAACAGATATTATTAGTTAATGAACTTTGTGAGGGACACTAAGAGGAAATTAGAGCTTTTCTTGGAGTTTCAGTCTGCAACATATGTCCCTACACATACACATAACTCACTAGGGATGTTCATGGTTCGGTTTGGATCGGTTTTTCCCTAAAAAGAAATCAAACCAAGTAAGTCGGTTTTTCAAATATTAGAACCAAACCAAACCATTTAAGTCGGTTTTTTCTCGATTCGGTTTATGTCGGGTTTTGTCGATTTTTTGGTTTTTTCGGTTATTTGTCGGTTTTTTCTTAAATAAAAGACATACACTACCAAACACATATTCCGACGACCACATTTTCAATGTAACACTATCAAATCAATTGCCATTTGAGAAATCTATTATTTACCAAGATATATTGATGATAATTGAATCAAATAGTGATGAATAATTTAAGGACTCAATTAAAAATATATTATTTTTAACACGAAATGGATTCTTACACGTAACAAAGGAACATTACCAATCAAACTAGAATGTAAAGGTAAAGAACTATACTAAAAGTGCAACCTATTAACATTTACCATTAAATTTTTGAAACTTTGTATAAAAATATACATATATATATATATAGATGTGATAATAAATTTGAAATAGCTACTCCTATAGTCGGTTTGGTTCGGGTTTTTTCGGTTTTTTTCTGATTAAAACCAAAACCAAATCAAATTTGATCGGTTTTTAGAATTCAAAACCAAAACCAAACCAAACCAAAAAGTATCGGTTTTTTTGGTCGGTTTGGTTTGGTTTTCGGTTTGGTTCGATTTTTCGGGTTTTTATGAACACCCCTATAACTCACATATTTGATTCTCTTTATCTATACAGACACAGAGTACTGTGGAGGGCAGTGGAATTGCTTTAGCTAGTTGGATGCCTAAAACATGGGGAAGGACGCAAGAAAGAGAGATGCTCCATGACAATGATGAGACACTTTCGGGAACCTCATGTAGAACAAAAGCATTGTCTGAAGCTGCAGTGAAATCCAAATATCATCGAAAGAGGTTCTCAATGTCTTTCTAAGTGAAATGTTTGGTGCTTTTTATCTTTTTTCAAGTTTGCGGACAGTTGCTTATCAAGTACTAATTTGTTCCCATTTTCTTGTTGGTCACAGTGCTGAAGTGATTCGACTTCCTGAGATTGTTCCAAGAGATTCTAGTTACCAGAAGCCCTTTCCTCTTCTCCTGCAAAACCAGCAAATATTGAAGGTTTTTGTTTTCTGTTTTGCTTCTTTCTTATACATTAATCTTCTTGAGCTGAGTGTCTCTCGGAAACAACCTCTCTAACCCTTCGGAGTAGGGGCAAGATCTATGTATATTCTATCCTCCTCAGACCCCACTTGTGGGATTTTACTGGGTTGTTGTTGTTGTTGTTGTCGTTGTCTTCTTTCTTATACATTAATTATGTGAAAATTTTAATTTTTTATTTTTGATACTTGTGCACAAAGTTGATTTGAAATTGGTCAAGTTATTGCTTGAAAAACGATTTTTATTAAAGAAGTTCAAGAAGTATGATGGTGGTGGCCTTGATGTTAATTAGGCCATTGCTATTTTCATCCGAAGGGTGCACCTAAAGAGAACTTTATAAATACTTAATTTAAGTGATTTCTTAAGTATTGGTTTGGAAGAAATTGTTGGGTTTTTTGAAAGATGGGGCAGCAAAAAGATTAAAAGTATTGATTGAAAATGTCTCTCAATGATCTTATTAAGCATAACAAGGCTTTAAATAGCCAATCAGGAACATAATCTGCAGAAAAATTTGCATAACAAGAATTCAAAAAAACTAAAATATCTCAACAAACCTAAAAAAATCTAACTGAAATTTAAATTCAAAAAATAGATTTATCCTAAAATTAAGCTAACTTATTATGCTAAAAAAGTTACTGCAGTAACTGAAAGCAACAAAATTTCAACACTCCTCCTTTGCTTCAGTTGCTGCAATTAAAAAAGTTGCTCCTCCTCAATTCTTGCTTCGGTTGTTTGTCCTTGAGGATTGTTTTGAGCATCGCTGAAATTGCACACTTTTGTAGTGCAATTCTTTTTCTTTTTTTCTTCTTTCTTTTTCGTCTTATGGTTTTGTGCATNTTTGGATCGGTTTTTTCCTAAAAGAAACCAAATCAAGTAAGTCGGTTTTATAAATATTAGAACCAAACCAAACCATTTAAGTCGGTTTTTTCTCGATTCGATTTATGTCGGGTTTTGTCGGTTTTTTGATTTTTTCGGTTATTTGTCGGTTTTTTCTTAAATAAAAGACATACACTACCAAACACATATTCCAGCGACCACATTTTCAATGTAACACTATCAAATCAATTGCCATTTGAGAAATCTATTATTTACCAAGATATATTGATGATAATTGAATCAAATAGTGATGAATAATTTAAGGACTCAATTAAAAATATATTATTTTTAACACGAAATGGATTCTTACACGTAACAAAAGAAAACTACCAATCAAACTAGAATGTAAAGGTAAAGAACATACTAAAAGTGCAACCTATTAACATTTACCATTAAATTTTTGAAACTTTGTATAAAAATATACATATATATAGGTGTAATAATAAATTTGAAATAGCTACTCCTATAGTCGGTTTGGTTCGGGTTTTTTCGATTTTTTTCTGATTAAAACCAAAACCAAACCAAATTTGATCGGTTTTTATAATTCAAAACCAAAACCAAACCAAACCAAAAAGTATCGGTTTTTTTGGTCGGTTTGGTTTGGTTTTCGGTTTGGTACTTTGGTTTGGTTTTTCTGGTTTTTATGAACACCCCCAGCTACAACAGTAGTTAATTTTGGTCAATGACACCTAAAATATTTACGATGCAATTATACAGTCAAAAATCTTTTTATAACTAGGTTCTAGGGGTGGCATAGTTTGGCAAACTCGAAACAAATTTCTTGGATTTTTGGTTTGGATTTTCGAATTACAGATTGGATTTTGGATTTAATTTTTAAAATTTTTAGATATAGGATTCGGTACTTCGAATTTTTGGATATCCGAAAATCCGAAATTATTATGCTTTATATTTAGTCTATTATCCATATGTCAATAGTAATAGTTGAATGCTCTACCCATTAAATATTATCTCATATATTCAATATTAACTACTAAGTTACTATGAGAATACTTTTTATTTGAACATGGATCTACTATTTCTAATTCTTATCTGCCGTATTAATGTCAATATTGTATTTTTTATGTATAATTTTTTTATTACTTTAATACTTCATTTGGATGATTGCCGTGGGAATGGGGAACTTTCAAGCAATTTAACATGAGCACTTTATTTGTATATTCATCGGAGGTGTGAGCGTATGGTTGTGGAGGGCGAGAAGAGAGGTAGAGGGCGGCCTAAGAAGTATTGGGGAGAGGTGATAAGGCAGGATATAGCGAGGCTTCAAATTTCGGAGGACATGACACTTGATAGGAAGATGTGGAGGTCGAGTATTATGGTTGTAGGTTAGGATGTAATTGAATATTGCCTTTCTTCGTACCATTGTGGGACTAGTATGGTAGGGTTTTGTCTAAGATAGCTAGTGACAATGTTGTGTCTTACTATTTTCGTTTTCGAGTGCATGACCTGTTTACTAGCCACCGCTTTCGCTTTTGCTTTGCATCTTTCTTCTGGATTTCATGTTGTTCCTACTTTTCATATGATTTTTGTGGTGATACTAATATTGTCTCCTTTTTGTCCTTTGTCTTGAGCCGAGGGTCTTTCGAAACAGCCTCCCTACTCCTGCGGGGTAGGGGTAAAGTCTGCGTACACACTACCCTCCCCAGCCCCCGATAGTGAGATTTTACTGGATTTTTGTTGTTGTTATATTTGTAAGAAAAATAAAAATATCTCAACTTATAAGTTCAAAACAGACCAGCCAATCCGAACTTATTTGGATTGAATTTGGATTGTCATTTCATCAATCCGAAAACCGACATTCCAAACCGAAATTTCATATGCAATCCGAACTGCCCAAACCCCACCCCTATTTATAACTGCTTTATTTTTTTCAAATACTTTTTTATTAAGTGCGATAGTACAGAATATATATTACTTTTTCTTTTTCAGTTTATATGAACTTCTGTGTTTTTTGATAGTTAATTTTGATTAATTTTTCAAGCTAACTTGAGTCAAGATATAAAAGTTAAAATTTAAATACTCAAAACTATACGAAAATTATTATAAGTTGTAATTCTTCTCATGTGAATATAGTAAAAAATATTTTTCAACAATGTTGATAAAAGTTTGCATAGTTTAAATCTCCAAAAGAGAAAGTTCACATAAACTCGGACAGAGCATGTATAACATAATATGAAAAACTAGTTCCAAAAATAACCTGACTATTATAAGGAAATAAGGAATAGAGAATGACAAATATTAAAAAAATTGACTGTACTGCCTTTGGATAAAATTAATCACTTTGACAAATTAAGTTTGTTTAAATTTTTTGATTTTTAAAAAAAATAAGTATTTATTATTTTCTTACAAGTTCACTTTTACTTTTCTAAGTCATAAAGTATTAATAAAGTGAGATATTTAAGAGAAAGAGATAAATACAATTTAAATAATTACTCGTATTAATAATGTTATTTAAAAAATATTTCCTTAATAAGTCAACAAAAGTGTTAAAAGACTGTTAATATGAATATGTTTGCAGATTGAACCTTCTTACTTTATCATAATTAGATAATATATATTTTTAAAATTATAAATTGATTCTATAAACCTACGACCAAAAAGCAAGGGCGGGGTTTACATTATAAAAATTTACAATTTCAGATGTGATTTTTTAGAATTCGTAACTTCAAAAACTTTATTTGATATTCCAAAACTAAATAAAATATCGAAAATTAAATTATATTTAAAATTGGTACTTATATAATTTACAAAGAAAAGAAGAAAAACTTAAAAAGGCAAGAAAAAGGAAATGATTCGAAGTGGGTGGGAATATCGAGGAGATATCTCGCGGGAAGCACCGCCTACATGATACATTAAAAAACCCAATAACTTATCACTTTATATTCTTTTTTCTTTTTTCTTTTTTGCACCATTGCAGATCTCGCCTCTCCGTACACAGATTTTCTCTCTCTTTTCTTCTCTTTCCTTTTTTATTTATAAAAATAAATAAAATATCGTACATTTGATATGATATTTTTCTCTGTCCTCTGTATAAAACTCATACAACCCCCCTCTTTGTTAACCTTCCTTACTCTCTTAAAACTGACCGTTTCTTCTCTCTCTCTCTATACATTTTCCCCCTTTATTTCTTCTCTGTTCCTTTATTTGAATCCTCCTCGTCAAATAACCAATACTCTTTCGTACAGCTCCTTAGGTAAACATCTCTCTATCTCTCTTTTTCCTGTAGATTAATTACGTTTTGCTTATTTTGTTGCGATTTCACACTTCTTTTTTGTCTTGGAAAAAATTGCTTTGCGTGGAAAAAATTGCTTTTCGTGTAATTTTTATAATTTATAGCACGTAAATACTATTAGACAGCTCGATTTTTTGTTCTATAGTGTAGATCTGTGAAAGAAATTTGGAAGTATCGGATTTTTTGCCAATTAAAATATAGATGTAATTTACAGGCGAAGTGTTTGTCTGCAGTAGATTCGTATTGAGCTGGAAATCTAGTCGTTTGTCTAAATATAATAAGCTAAGTTTTTACAATTTTTGATATGATTTGAAGCTATTTTTAGATCCACGTTTCCCTATATTTTTTTTCTTTTTTTCCCCAGTGACTTCTCAGTTGTTTCAACGCAGAGTTAAATCGCCGGTTAATATCGGCCTGCTATTTCTCTGAAATGTTAATTTTCGACTCTAATATGCATATACAGTGGAGTAGTATATTTGACAAATATTTAAAATTCATATGAAGCTGGAAATTTACGCGTTTTTGTAGTTGATTTGCATAGTTGTATAAATTTGTCCCATGATTCATAGGTTTTAAATTTGTAGATCCACGATTCCCTAAATTTCTGTTTTTTATTTTTCCGGCCGTCTCTGGTTGTCTCAACGGAAAAGGTCAAAATCTCCGCCTTGTGTTTTTTTGGAAGATTTGACCAGATCTATTAAATTTTCAACTTAATTATTCAAGGAAATTGATTTTAATTAGTTTTATTTCCTTTATGTCACTGTTATATTTGGATCTGTGAAGTAAAATCTTCATTTGTCTTGGTGCAGGCGTTGTTTAAATAAATTTTGTCTGGAAAAAATGAATCACTGTGCTATTCAACAAAGCAATTTTGCCGCTTGTGAAGAGATGATGATGCGCTCATATTCCTCAATTTCCGATAAGAAGGACGCCGTTGTTTGCCCTAAGCCCCGCCGTCTCGGCGCCGGCCCTATGAGACCTCTCAGATGGCATCAGCAAGACTTTTGTGATTCAAGTTCTGGAGCTGATTTATTGGATATCATCCTCACAAAGGTAGGTTTATCACTTTAATTTGTTCAGTACTTTTTAAATTTTTTTTTGGTTATAGTAATCCTAGTATGTGTATGTGGAATCCTTTGATTTGAAAAGCGAAAATTAAATATTAAATAAAATAAAAAGGAGCGTATTTGTGGACCTATGGAAAAGGATTATATGTCCAAGTCCAAGTGTGTGGGCACCATGTTCTTGTCGGTGTTAGTTGTCGAATGTGAATCTCATGTTATGCTTTTCATCGAGTGGCTTTGAAGCAATGGACATGTCATGATTGATTCAGTTTCTATTTTTGGTCTTCCTCCATTTAGAATCAGTAAAAATCAAATTGAATTTAGTCTGTGTCAAAAGTTCTTTAGATTCATCTGCTGATATTTGGTGTTGAAAATTTTACAGGGTGGTGGAGTTGATCAACCAGCAGCACAAGTAGCCTCGTCGCCTCCATTTTTTTGTGGGTCGCCGCCGAGCAGAGTATCTAACCCTTTAATTCAAGATGCACGATTTGGGGATGAAAAGGTCACCCCAGTTTCACCACGGGCAATACCAATTCCCTCCGGATTGGCTTCGTCCCCATCGTCTTCCGCCAGGAAAGGCGGATGTGTGAGCAGGGCGAATTTTGGCCACAATCCGGCTGTGAGAGTTGAGGGTTTCGATTGCCTTGACAGGGATCGTCGTAATTGCAGCATCCCTGCTTTGGCTTAAGAAAAAACCTGAATACCAATCCAATACTGAGAAAAGTACATAGAGGAAACTTGAAGTTACACGAACGAGTCATCAACTTTTGTTTTAACTAGCGGCAGCAGAAGAGTTTGAAGATTTTCGTCGACTGAGAAACTGAAGAAAGATCCTTTTGGCTAGTGTAAATATGTCCAAAGGGTCTATGTAAGTAAATTGTAATATAATGTCTTTGTCTCTGTAAGTAAATGGGAGTCGTTATTAACAAAGTAATTAGAGGTGGTCCTGACCCTGTTGTAATGATGTAAGTATGTGCTGGGGTCGTGAATGTCAATATGGGAGCCGTAATCGAAGAGATTTTGTAAAGAGAAGGAAAAATTAGGTGTGGAGTGGAATCAATTCACTTTGTAAATGTAAGATATATAAAAATCGTTTACGGCTTTGATTCTTGCGTTGCATCATTGCGTGTGGTGAATCTGTATCCATCACTTTCCTCTCGTTGCAATTCAATATTGTGGTATGACTATGATTGATGCTTTGCTTGTTTGGCACGCTCAAGGCGTATCACTCAATTTCACAGTCCCACCCTCAACTGGTATGAGTATATCACTTTTTCTTTTACATCCTTTCCTTCCTGAATTGGAAATATTAGTTTTTTTTATATAAGGGATCAACTATATTAACAAACTAAACGGATAAAATAGTTAAATCACGTTTAATTTTTTTTTTTTTTTTTTTTTTTGGTTTAAAGGGATCAATTATATTAACAAACTAAACGGATAAAATAGTTAACTCACGTCACTAAGGAGATTCGTTAGTTAAACCAAGCCTCCGGCAGTTGAGCTTGTGTCCAAGTCCATTTTTTTAAACTCTTAGGGTCCGTTTGGTTGGAATATGATTTATACCGGTATAAGTAATGCCCATATAAGTTATATTGGGATTAATTATGTTGGGATTAGTTATGCTGGGATTGTTGTTTATTCATTGTTTGGTATGTTGTATTAAGAATGACAATTGCATAATTTCTAAGAAGAAGGTATAAGTTATACCGGTGTTAATTACCCCACCTTTTATAAGGTATAAGTTATCCCGGTGTTAAAATTAACACCGGGATAACTTATACCCGGTTTACTAACCAAACAGAGTATTAAGGTGGTACTAAATTTTTATACCACCGTTATACCTTCTTATACTTTATACCAAACGACCCCTTAGAGCATCTCCAACCCCTGCACTATTTTTTTTACACCAAAATGGTATAAACAAAAAAATGGTGCAAATTAACTCCAACCTATTGCACTATTTTTACACAAAAAAAAAAAGAATATTTCTTTTATATTTTTCTCTCCTCTATATTATATTATTTTCTCTTATTTAAATTTATTTTTTATTTCATAAAACAAGTTCTTTCTTTTTTCTTTTTTACATATTCATCCCATATAATTCATATTCATTTTTTATATAAGCATTTAATATAAAATTATTTTATACCATAAAATTTTAAATAATATAAATTGTAAGCAAATATTATACATTATACATATTAATAGATAATTCAAATGAAAATGAAATCAATGATAAGATATAATTGAATAAATATTACATTATGGTAAAATTTTGTTTAATTTTTACATAAATACTCAACTTCCAGGATTAATATGTTGCTCCCACAAATGCTCTATTAATGCATTACGAAGTGAAAAATGAGCATTTTTGTCCTTAATTTTTTTGTGTCGATCTAACAACATACTGTATTTTAGATTTGCACTTTTTATTTAGTTTATGGTTATATCTTTTAATACAATTAAAACACCTCCTTTTTTACACACCTACCCCGAAGGATAATGTATAAGGGAGTTTTTCCATTTAAAGTGACATTATTCGAAATGGGATTATTTATTTAATTTTTAGAGTCGCCATTTGGGATAAGATTGGCTTTTGGTGTCCCAAGTCACCGGTTTTAACTTGAATCCCAAATCGAGAAAAATTGTCGACTTCCCAATTGGAGTCTGCGAACCAGAAATTCTGAATAAGGAATTCTGTTGACCCGAGGGAAGGTGTTAGGCACCCCCGGATCCCGTGGTTCGAGCACGGTCGCTTAAATTATTATAATTGGCTACCAATCTGATTTTAATACATGTCATCTTATAGTACAATTTTAAGATTATTTACCGCCTTTAGTTGATTTTTAGGAAATTGAACGTCGTTTAAGAACGTGTTTTTGGATCACGTCACATGAAATGCACCCGGATCCTCGACATATTCTTATTCAACGTTTTGAGATTTGGATTTGGGTTGCATGAAATGCACATCCGTATTTAGGAAGGTAAAATTATTAAAAGCGCGCCTAAAGTGGCTAACGAGTTATTATCTTTGCGAGAGGCCGTGAAATTCGTTAAACGGCACGCCCCGAATTCTAAGTATTTTAGTTAAGCATTCAATGAGGGCCCCGCAACTTATGCATTTTTGTTTGGCGAGGCTCATCTCACTTTTATTTAAAGGTCAGCCTAAAGCAAACTATGATTTTCTATTTATTTTTTGTCTCTAAAAAGGGCCTAATTAATTTGCATTTATAAATTCGGGCCTCGAGTTCAAGTCCGAATTCAAACAAAAGGGAGGGCCCTCTTAATTTGAACCCGCTACCTAACTCGAAAACCTAAATTTATATTGCAAATTAATCCCCCATATTCCTAATGTAATTTCTAAAGGGTTTTGACTTATAACAATTTTTTGGGCGTTAGAGGTTTGGCCTAGTTCTGATGGGTGAAGCTGTCCAGACGTGGACCTGGAGGCATGAAAATTGGGCCTGTTGTTGCACAACTGGCCCTGATTTAACAGTCGCCCAGCCTTGGGTCCTTGTCAAAGTCCAAACAAAGTAAGCGTAATCCTGAAATTTGAAGCTTAAAATTAATCCAAAGAGGTTATTGAGCCTTGATCCTTCAATTATCTACTGTTCTTAATTTTACCCAATATTAGAACTCAAGGAATTAAGCATGACATAATTAACACTTATGTTGAGGTATTGAATAGCTCACTTAAGCTCATAAATTTCACAGAGGCTGTATGAAACCAAAAAAAAAACTAAATGAGAATATCAACATTAAAACGCATGTATACTGAATTCCTTAAATGGCACATTCAAAACATATATATCCTGATTTGCAAATTCAAATGCACCAGCATTCGAAGCTAAACTACACTACACTAAGGCTCCCGATTTTAGATGAATCAATACAAGTCCGAAATTCAAAAGTCTACTGCAGTCCAGTTTAATTACAAGCCAATGTAAATTGAATGAATATCACTAATATTGTCAAAGGCCAACAACATCTGTATTTTGATATAAAAATCTAACATTCTTCAACATTTAATTTTCAGAACTGTTCATACACACGGACTTGCTTTTCCAGATCACTTGAATTAGAGAAAATACCTGGAATTATGATGAGACAAAGAGAAGAAGAAGGAGGTCAGCAGCAGTTCTAGTAACCAATAAGCTCAACCAGTGAATCACAGCAACAAGGAACCAATTGAACTTAATTGTAAACCTAGGAAGCACTGTTAAATAGCCCATGACCCTTAGATCACTCAAAATAGCTTGCATACACTTCAAACCAGCTTGAATCTAACCCAGCAACATTTATAAGAATTCAGCAATCAAATATCGAGCTAAAAGGCGTAAATCAACAATTAAAAATCTAGAGTAACCTAGGGTTCTCAATGTAACAATTTTTTTGGAATTTTTGGAAGTTTTCTGTTGTGTTTTTTTTGGATTTTCGCAGAAAACTAAGATCTAAAGAAGGTTTTAGAACTAGATGACTTCAAATTTGAACCTCTTGGAATTTTGAAATTCAGACTTGAAGAAGAGGATTTTGAGGGGGAAATTAAGAGCTGGAGAGTTCAGGAATTTTTAGGGGTGTGTAACTTGTCCAGGAAGGCAGTAGAGACTGCCTTTATATAGGCAAGGCTAAGGGAAGTTTTCAGATTTTGCATTTACCCCCTTGCCCCCTCTTTTATTTTCAGTTTTTTACTAATTAGTCTATAAAGTTTTGACTTGTTTCTCAAGTTAAGCCCTAAACTACTGAAATTCTGACTAAAACCCTCATCTAGAAGATTCTAGGAGGTTCTAGTTTAGTTACTACAATTATTCTTTCTCTTTGAAGTGTCCAAATTACCCCTTTAACAGCTGAAATTAACAAATCAACCAAGCTAACCCTAAAGACTAGCTAACCCTAGTTCCAACTAACCAAGGTTGGTTAATCAAGGTTAACCTAATCAGCTATATCCAAACCAATCTAACCTAAACCTAAGGATTATTTGAAAACAAACACTGACTAAAGGACAATTATTGATAAAATTGAAATGAATTAAACTAAACTAATTAAACTAACAGAATTATTAATTCAACAAACCAAAATCAAACGGTACCTAAATAAGATCGATTAAAGAATATCAAGACTGATAAAAAATAGATGTGAAACAAAAATTAAACTAAAATCTAAAACTACCAACCCAGGATTGAACAAAATGAAACAAAATTAAACTACAAAATAATTATTGGAACAGAATGAAACGCATACAACAACCAACATTAAGAATTAAAAAATAGAAATAAACGAAAAGGCTACTGACTTAAAAGCTATATCAAATGTATTCAAACCAAAGACTAAACTAATTATCAAAATTGCCAAAATACAATCTGAATCAAAAATAAAAATCAAGATTAAAATAAGAAAAGGAAAATACCTAGTTAAACTGTGAATCCGGCCAAGCCCTTGCAAAATTTGGACTGAAACTTGTCCTTAATCGTGTGTTTCCATGAGAAACACAAGATTAAGGACTATCACAGTCCAAAATAGAACGAACTCAGAAGTTTTGAAAATTAGGATTTTGAGGTCCATTTTCGATCTGAATTTCGAGGAGATGTAGGAGGATTTGAACGAAGATGGCCATGGATTTGGAAAGAGGGCCTTGGGGAGAATATATGGTGTAAAACTGGGATTGTTTGGTGGTGGCGCCGTCGCCCACGACGGAGGTGGCGCCACTGTTTTTGATTATTCCAGGAGATGGGCTTTTATTCGAGGGAAAATATTTCGGGGGTTGAAAAGAGGAGGAGAAGGGGAGTTGATGGTGTAAATTTGGGGGTATTTGGAGGTTGGCCGCCGGCGGAGACGATTTTCGGCCAGCGGCGACGGCGGAGGGCGACGGCGAGGCGGAGGTACGAGGAAGGGGAGTATTGTCTCTAGGGTTTCTGATATTTTTAAGACAATTTTATTTAAAATCTAGGGCGATTATGGACCGTTGGATGAGAGCAAAGGGACGGGCAAGATTGATTCTAACCTAAAGATATCAAAACGACGTTGTATTGGCATGATACTACGTAGTTTTAATGGTATGGGGCAATGGAAATTGGACCGGGTGTTTGGGCTTGGCCGGGCAATGGGTTTGGAAGGGTTTT